CGCGCGGGAGCCGCCGGCGGCGGTGTGTGGGGAGGCGGCGGGGGCAGCTCCGTCCCCGGGGTGCAAAGCCTCTACCCAATGCCCTTCAGTTAGAGGGAGCTCTGCTCATTTGCAGCTGAATTTTCAGGTGCTTTGCTTTTTCCTTTCCAAGTATCTTAAGATCTCTCAGGGTAGATTTTCTGAAGACTTAACGGTAGATTTTCTAGTGTGTCTTTTGAGAGAGATTTCATTTTGCTCATTTTTAAAAAGATGAAGCTCACTCATTTAAATAGTTGAAGTTTGATACAGCCCTGTCAGGGGCTGCTCTATTTGCTGCCCCCATACTTCCACCGCTTTTAGTCAGTTTCTGCAGTTATTGTACTGTAAGTGGCTTTCTGTATTTTTTTAGAAATAGATTAACATAATTTTATTTTTCTGAGAAGGATAGGTGTGTTCTTTTCTTGAGAAATAGTAGTTCATTAAAACCCAACAAGCTAGGAAGCCTGTAAATGGAAAAAGATTGTGTGGATGTGAGCAGTCTATTTTTATTTTTGGGTGCAATAACTAGTTACTGAAGTCTTAACATTTAATGTATTAAATTCTCTCAGGCAATGTCTAATATCAAACCTTGTTGAAATTGGGGTTTGGCTGCAACAATTGCAAATCATTCCAACATCATCCAAAGAAGAAAAAATACAGCAAGTGAGACCTATGTTTTTCAAGATTTGCTTAAATACAGAGTAGGAAAATCAGCTTTGGTGCTTTTATTTGATTTATAGATAAGATTTTGTCGTCCAGGTTTATTTATTTTGATATTCTCTAAGCAGAGGAATGTGTTAAAAGGCAGGATGAAATAAAATCCTAAAAACAGGTTTCTAACACAATTGCTATTTTAATGGGCAATTTTACAAGGATGGATTTAGTTTCACTAATAGTTTTAAGAAGAGTTTTAAGGAGACATCAAAGTGTCTGAAATCTTTGTAACAGAGCTAGCCTCAAAGATCAGAGGGGAAAAAAAAGTATTTGAAAAGTGCTTCTTACTTTTGAAAAGGTCAGGATTATGTATAAAACTACTTTAACCTGTTTCTTTTTCTTCTAAAATGTTGGCCATGCTTAAAGTTGATAGTCTTGCTTTAAGGTGCGGTAAACCCTGTATTGTGTTTTGTGCTAAATCATAGACCTTTTAAAGCCAGTCTCTTCTACCTGAAATATGATGGTTTTCAACTCTTGAATTCTTCTAGAATTTTCTTGCTGTAAATGTTTACACTTGTCAATAGAAAGGAATTTTGCTCAGAAGTTTTTTATAGACCCATATCTTTATGGTTACCATATTTTTTTTCTGCTGGTATTTTGTTTGTTTATAAGCCTGCCTGTTAACATACTTGCAACATTGTCAAAATGAACCCAACCTGTGGCCCGACTTCATACAGTTTTCTACAAGAAGGCCTCGTGATTTTTTTCTGTGATAGGAATTGAGGGGAGTCCCCAGGCTACCTCAGTACCTGCCTTCATCTCTCTTCTTAAAGCTTTTTTTCTTTCTTTTTTTTGTGTCACAGTCTATTAGACAACAGCCAGACTGGGACTGTGCTGAGTCCACCTTCCTCCCACAGCATCGGCTGTTTGGCTTCGTTGGTCTTAACCATCATGTGTTTTACAGTTAGAGTGGAAGGCCTTGTAGGTAGACACCATTTCATTTTGTTTCTTGGTATCGTTAGTTTTTAGGGCCGTGGTAACAGTAACATAGAAGATAAATAACAGTACAGTAACGTGATCCAGTGAGCACTCTACAAATTTTAAGCAAGTAATCCGTGGTCTAATGTGGGAAATTTGAATGTAGCCTCATCTTAACATTTCTCTTTTTTTGATAAATTAATTGAAAAGATTAATAGATTCATTCTAGTGCCTTTTTAATTTTAGATTTAAAAAAATTAATATTGAAATGCTGTAAACAGCATAGGCAATTATCTACTGTCATATAATTATTTTTCTGAAGTTGTGTTTGGAGTTGAACTGAGAACTAGGGGGAGGCTTTTATTTTTTAGGATGAAGTAATTGAGAAAGAACAGAGCCTATGTGTCATTATGATTCTGTTATGTCTGAAATTTCACATTATGAAGTGAACACTATCTATGTTTTCAAGCTATTAAGCACAGTATCCAGAATTAATGAATATATGATTTTTAAAATTTTTTTTTGACCGTATGTAGGTTAGAAGTAAGTTGTAAGTATGCATGAGAATAATGTCAGGTAGAGATGGAACCTCAAATTAGGAATCTATTTATTATCATATTTGTATTTACTTTTATAGCACTGAAACAAAAGCAACTGCTTTTCAAAAATCTTTTAAGTACGAAAGGATGCCGTGTTATTTATAGTATTTCTACTTTAGGTTTGAGCTATACAGCAAATTAAGGTCAGCATACAGAATTTTGGCATGTATAAAAGCAGAAATTGAGGGGAATAGCTGTATGGTTACATTCCTGTAACACACTTTTAAGCTTTACCATAGAGGGCTAGATAAAAGTGGGAACTTTTACATTGGAAATGCTGAAGAACATTGTTAGTAGTAGTGTGGTCACAAGGAAACCAACAGTCTATTGTAGCGAGGACGGCTTGTACTATCTGTTCTCTTGTCCATGTCTCAGTGACTCTAAGGCAAGATGCAGTATTACAGAGCTGGTCTAGGTCTCTGTTCCAGTCCCTGCTCTGGATTGGTTTTTGTGCCTTGGCATTTAAAGAAACTACACAGAAACTCCAACTGCAGTTGTAGTTTGAAGGCTGTGAGTCTGAACGTGGATTTTGTAAGCAGTGTGTAGTCTAGAGCACTCTTAGTTTTATCATTAGACTGTAATATTTCTTTTGACAGTGATTAAAATCCATGAAAAATACTATATTTCAGTTACACCAGGAGAGCAGGATACTTTCCTCACTGATAGTGGAAAAGGTTCCATTAGATCTTGAATGAATGTCAAAATTAATTGTAATCTCTGTGTTAGAATATCATCTCTTGGCCTCAGAGAAGAATATTGTTCTGTTTGTTTTTCTGTTGTTTTTTTTTTTTTAATCAGCAATAATTATTTTTATTTGCAGTTATATGCAGTAAAAAATTTGTATGTTCAATGCAGTGTCAGCTGAACCTACTGCCTGTAATAACAGCTTTTGAGAATGGGGAGTATGTTTAAAATGTTGAAACTTTAGGCAAAGTATCCTATGAAGGATAAATGTTATTCCTAACATGACAGTCTTCATTTAAAAAGATTGCTAATGCTGGCAACTCTCTGGAGTAGATACTGTTTTTTTAATCCAAGTTATCTAGTAATGAGTAGAGAGTAGTTTGTCTCTGGAATAGAAGACAGTCCTTGTTCTGAAGGGATTCTAGTGTAAGTGGCAGTTCTTCATATACATATAGTAAACGTTGTAAGGTGAAATCATCCTTTTCCTACTGCTAATATTTTGCAACTTTTTTTTATTTCAAAGCTTTATAACCAGCTCCAATGATATTAATTTTTAAGTAGTTAGGCAAAAGTCATAAGGGGCTAAAACTTTTATCAGTACTTTTAATTGCCACTATTTTCTTTTTCTTACAGTGGTGGGAAGGACAGCTGTTATAATATGATGCAGTGTGTTGCTGCTGGGCACCAGATTGTTGCTCTAGCCAATTTAAGACCTGCCAAAAACACAGGTATGAAAGCCACATTTCTTACAGGATATTTTTTTTTTTTATACTAGAAACAATGGAGGAACAGCTGTGCCTGAATGAAGGTCCTTTATGTGTTTTTATATAGTTTTTCATGTTGAAGGGCAATCTAGAAATCTTAAAAGAGGTAGAAAAAACAAAATGCTATGGAGGCGCATTAACTGTATTTTTCCTCAAAGGGGAAAGAACACAAGAAGATGAAGATCAGTAAAAGAAAGGCTTACACAATTTGAAAAAGGGAGAATACGAATATTCCTGGTGGTAGATAAAGGGATTGTGTGAGTTCAGTAGCACAAATAGTAAAAGGTGGTAGAGGATATCATCAAACAAAACAAACACTATATTTCTAGAAATGCTTTAAACTGGCATAAACCACTCCAGCTGCCAAAAATATGCAGTTTTGCTGCTGCTCATTAATTTTTAGCCTTGTATATCTTCCTCCGTTATTCTAGCCCAGCATTTGTGAGCTGGATTGAGGAACTGATCTGGTTCGGAATTGACCTTGATGCGCTTCTTTTTCCCGCCTTTTTCCTTTCTTTTAGCATGGACCAGTTTTCTGATCAGTTCCTCATAGGCTGCACCTAGACTTATTTCTGTGAAAGAGAATGGGAGAAACTCAGGTAGTCTAGGTCAGTGGTGAGGTGAGAGGGTGAGTACTTCTGTGTTGGACTAGAGCATAATTTGAACTTGAAGTGAGACTTTAAAAGGGAGTGAGTTGTTTCCCAGTTGGTAGAGGAGAATGTTAAAGTATGTTAATGTAGGTTAACTGTTCAACATATGTTAAAACAGTTAAGTATGATGTCTGGTAACTATATGGTAGGAAGATGCACAGAAAGTAAAGGAAAAAGGGAGCTGCCATCACAAATGAGTCACAGACGGAACTGGCAAATGCTAGGGACTACAGGAACAATTTATTTTCTGGGTAGCTAGGACATAATCATCTCTAATCTTTTTGAAATATGTTGTCTTTAAACTAATTTATCCACATCAGAAATGTAGAATATTGTCATTAAATCATAAAATGCTCTCTTTAAGTGTGTAGTTGGAAATTTTGTGGAAAGTTAATTGAGGTGCTTCAGGCAAGAGCGGATTCTATGCCATTCATTTTATTTTATCTTGTACCACTGTTGCCTGGAGAGTCTCAATTAATAAAGAAACTCTGTATTCTGAACTGAATATCAGTTTAAAGACCTTGTCATATTCACGTATGTTGAAAAACACTGAGTTTTCTTTTAAGTCAACTCTTCTGGTCTAGGTTGGTTAGTTGTGATTATGGGTTTGGATTTGCCTGTTTTGAGCAAAAGCATATCTGTTGTATGGCATCAAACGTGACATGGCCTAATTGTTACATCACAAATTAGTTATCTTGATCAATGTTACAGACACTTCTCTTTGCAAGATGCGCTACGTAGGTATACAGTAGAGATGCTTGATGTGTCTGTGTAAATTAAGAGAAGTTCCAGTATTACAAATTAGCATTGATATAGTGAACTGTGTTAGCTTTTAACAAAGTGGAGATTTCACCAATAATGATGTATTGCTTTATCAATCTGTTTGAAAAATTATCTGGAAGATTTATATGTAAACGGTTTATCATGTAGTTTGAGATTTAATTCAAATCCATGATGTCTGCATTTTAGCTGTTTTTTTTCTTATCTGCTAGCTACAAAGTGCTTGTAAGAAAATTCAGTTAGTTTTTTCTCCTGCTTAAGGAAATAGCAGCAAAGAGTTGATTTCATTTCGAGCTTAATTTTTAAAAGGAGTGAAGGTAGAAAAGGCCTGGATATTATAACAGATTTCCTTTTCTTTTTGTATATTAAGCAATGTCAAAACACTGTAGCGGTCTACTTTTATTCTACTTCAGCAGAAATAATCTCCTCTTCTTTCTTGATGACCATGATAACAATTTTAACAGTAAAGTTTTTGGAAATTTTGACGACCTATTGCTTATGCTCAGCATTGCAGTGCATTCCAAATTTCTTGCTCTGAGTATGTTGAAATGCATCTGGGTTTGTGCCTCTGAACTGTGTTCCTGTTAAAATTACCATATAAATAGGAGCAGGATTGGACCGTTATGAGATTCTGGGATGAAGCAGGGAGGAATACTAAAGAAGAAATAGACACCACAATTTCCAAATAGGCAGCATGTTTGTGACAGATGTCTTCCTCTCCATATGTCTGTTAGGTGGAGAAATCTATTTTTTTTTCTTTCCATGTTTATAGAGGTATTGTCACCAAACATCTGTTTGTGAACCGAAAAATATTAACATTTAGATTTTCTCAGTGCTTTGTAGTATTGTGATTATCTGTAATTGTTGAAATAATGTACCTAATATGATTGTTTCTTAATTGTGGCAGGGCAGACTGATGAATTGGACAGCTATATGTATCAGACAGTAGGACACCATGCCATTGACCTATATGCTGATGCATTGGATTTGCCACTCTATCGTGGTATCATAAAGGGTACCAGTGTAAATACTGGAAGAGTGTATATCGCATGTCAGGAAGATGAAGTTGAAGACCTTTACCGCCTCATGAAACTTGTTAAGGTATGCTGAATGAAAAGAATTAAATAACTGGGGAGAATTATGCTGCTTAACTCATTTATGAATTGAAGTAAATGATCCACTTAGGTATTTAAGGAAAGCTTTGAGAAAAAATTTGAACACTTATACTCTTACAAGTTATATTTCTATTCCTTTGTTCTTCCTGGCACTGTAAACATATAGCCTAACTTCATTGCTTTGTCCCCAATGTGCATCAGACTTGTTAATCCGCATTTCAAGCCAAAACCTTGTTCCTATTTAATAAAAACACCTGTAACAGGTGCTCAGCATATATTGCAAAAAACATAATTATAAAAATTATCTATAAATAAAATGTTTATGTAGTTTCATATTTGAAATAATGCGTTGCTTGATTACTGGAATGAGAGATCTTTCGGGTTTTGTGCATTTATTGATGTATGGAAAGTAATGTCTAGACATTTCCATTTGTGTACCCTTTTGCTCTGTAAACCAGAATCTGTTATTTGTTTGTATGTTGCAGATCATTCACGAAGTATTACAGAATATTTTACAATGATAATTTTTATTCTGGTAGCCCTGTAACTATATTCTAATATGTCATATAATAGCAATAACATATATCAATCCTTTTTAGCTGTAAAACCAATTAAAGGGAGACAGTAAGCGTATTTCCTAAAACACTTGAAATTTATTCTCTGTTCTTTCCCAAAATGTTTCATGTACTACTTAATTTGCCACCGGAATTAAATCAGATCTCATTGAAATAAACAGAAAACCTCCCATTGACTCCTGAGGTTTTACACGAAGTTTGAATGAACATGCTATGTCTATTGCAGTTAATTGTGTTGATGAATGCAGTGCACAGTACTAAAACAATGCAATGTTCAGAAAATCATATCAGTTGCTATTTTTAAAAAAGTAAATACACATTTAAATTTTATTGATCAAACTGGTAGACTGCTTTCTGAAACTTCAGCTAAAGATATTTATAGTCCTCAGTTAAAGTACTGGACATTTGCTAGCCCCCTTTTCTCCACTGAAATGAGAGTTGAGATTCATGAACCTAGAAGCTTCAGGCTTATTCTTTGTTCAGTTTAAAAAAAATTAACTTGCAGATAAGACCTAAGAATGTGGTTTGAGTGCAGAGTGCTTCCTGAACCATGTTGGAGTTGAATGGTACATCTTCTAATATTTTTAGCAGGGAAGTCATCTTCCTCTAAAGTAAAATTGAGATCACACACCTGTGTTGGAGTATGAGACTACGAAACAGGAGAACAGTGCGTGTAGGCTGTATGGACTCAAGTTGCGCCAGGGGAGGTTTAGATTGGCTATTATGAAAAATTTCTTCACCGAAAGTATTGTCAAGCACTGGAACAGGCTGCCCAGGGAAATGGTAGTGTCACCATCCCCGGAAGTATTTAAAAGACATGTAGATGTGGCACTTAGGGACATGGTTTAGTGGTGGACTTGGCAGTGTTAGGTTAACAGTTGGACTTGATGATCTTAAAGGTCTTTTCCAACCTAAACGATTCTATGATTATGCTCTAGAGTTCTTCATGGAGGTTTTAAATGGAATGTGCATATCATGCAGTACGGGAATTGAAAGAAGTGTGGTACAGCAGTTCTAAATTATTTTTGAACCATGATAGTATTAGAAATTAGAAGGACTAGTATATACTCTCTCTTAAAGCTGCATACTAACAGCTTTCTGCCACTGGGTAAGATAATAAATTACTGATCAATTTAATTAAAAATGGGCAGATTAGTGGCAATTAAGATGATACTTCCTTTTCAATTCTTGCTGTCTTTGGAGAAATGGATGCCTGACATAAATTAATGCTAATGTTAAATCTTGACAACTTCTGCTTTGGAAGTTTGTACATGATAATTATAACTATAGTTGAAAGAGATGTTATCAAGTTGTCTGGAACTAAATAACTATTTCTTTCCTGTATAGAAATATTAAAAAATTTTTATTTTTTCATATTTATTTGTCACTGCAGTTTTGTAGCTTTACTATGTAAGTCTTAATCACTGAGGATTTCGTTTTAGGATTTTTTTTCTCCACACATTAATAGTTTTAAACAGAGAGCTCAATTTACATTCTGTTGAAGGGAAGAGGAGGAACTCTGCGGAAGCCTTGTCAAAACGCATCCTTGAGTGGACGTAATTTCAAAACACTGGTCAAACTAACATAGCTCTGGTTTTCTGTCAAATGGTTTGGGCCCAACAATACAGGAAGGGTGTGTCTAGATCAAAACCACAGTGTGCCTCACTTTCAGTTTCTAAAGAACACTTGTATTGCAAGTAATTCTTTAGTAAAAAATTAAAACACATTTGAAAAACTAGTGTGAATTTGAATGTATTTGATGTTTTTAATAACGAAGTTATTGGAACAAGATTTCTAAAAAGTTAAATATTCCTCTGCAGTGCTTGGAAACCCAGGACTACAGTCCTGTTCTAGTCCATGGGATTCATAAAGCGATATTGACTGCCGGTGACTGTAAACCTGCTAATTTTATTGTCACAAACCCAGATGATTGATAGGTATGAAGGAAATTTATATTTATTTTTTAGCTGCCTAATGCCCTGGTTTATATTCTGTGTATTCAATATGTATTGTGAAACATATCAGAGTATTTATATGATGTCTAAATGTATCTTACTATGCAGTTCTCACCTGATAGTAGAATATTTACTTCGTGAGACATGTAAATTGTGAACTCTAAGGAATAATTTAATCTACTTTCAATGTTACTGAACATGAATTACCAATACCCTTGTTTATCCATGTTTATTGCTTTGCATATTGGAGCTGTTCCAGCAAAGCATGTAAGCACTAGAGTTTCTTAGTTATTTAAATTATCCTTCAGGGTTTTATCATGGTGCCGTCCTTGAAACGGGGAAATGTGTGGGAAAACTGTGGGTTTTTTCCCTTTAATTGTTGGAAAGACTGGAGTATGGAGGCATTTTTATGAAACTTTCCTACAACATACTCCTCAATGTAGACATATTTAACTGCTTTCTCCCCTTTTCAATGTAATTATGATCTTGTCCAAATAATACATTGATGTTTTATGCAAGCACATACAGAAGTGGTGTTAGATGAGTTGAATGTTGGATTGTTTTCTGTATCTCACAGAACTATGCTGAAACTTTTGTTTAGGGCAGTGGTTGTAGCAGCTTCCAGACTATACAAACCAATGCAAGATAATTTATTTCAGTTCTGGGTTTCAGTAGACAGTTCTGTCCTCTTCCAAGTTTCTTGCCTTATCCTGCTCTGTGAAGTCTTTGTCTTTATTTGGTAAGTTTCTACAGCTGGAGTAATTTATAGAACTCTTGAACTTGATAAAAATGTAGGTTTTTTTTTTTCTAGCTGTTTTTTCATCTTTTTCAATAACATTTTTCAGTACTTGGGTTTTTTGAAATTAGTATTTAAAAAAATTATTCTATATATAGTTTCTTTGTAATATATTTACTCGTGTTTATTATAAAGCTTGTAAGTTGATTTTCAGTGCATTTTCAGATTTAATATGTTAGTTCCGTCAGAGTTCTTTTTGTGGTGCACTTTGTGGGTTCAGAACCTGCAAGCTTACAAAAACCCAAAGATTACACTTGAAAGAAATTAATATATTGGATCTCAGGACTGAGGATTATTAATTATGATATCATCCATTGATCATTAGCTGAAAAATAAGAATTGATATATTGGATATATATTGGATATATGGATATGATATGTTGGATATATTGGATATATGAAACATTTGAATAATAATAGCCTTTGCTTGTGGCACTGTTTAATTTTATCAGTAATGTGGAAAGGGAAAAAAGGAAAATTTATTTTCTAAAATATTGTCACATTCTGGAGCAGTGATCTTATAACTCAGTCACTAAGAATAAGAAGCATTTTTTAGTTACAACCACAAAGAACTTAATAATACAGTGTGACTCCTGTATTTAATAGTTATTTTTTAAGGACAGGATCATGATTTTTGAAATGGACCCAAACTGATGTTTACTGAAGACGGGAAGTATTCCTGTCTGAGAATTAAAATTGCAATAGCTGTGTAATTTTAGATGTTATTTAAGGATGATATTTTGTCTCAGACAAAGTACTTTGGCTGTGCAGGTTCAGGTGGAATAGAGGTAACTTAGGTCCTATCGTTATTCAGTGAAACTCCCTAAGACCTGGAGTTCTTCAGGAAACAGTTCTTCAGGGTTTGAGATGAATGGATGAAATACAAGTTTATTCTGTGGCCTTTGGATGGGGATTAATTCCCTCATAGAAGATAAAACTTTCAGTTCCTCATTATTGCTAATAGTCTTCCATGCTAGGGAAACAGTCTTCCTTTCACCTTTCTCCAGAATTGAGCTGCTGTGGCCAACGGGAAAAACGAGTTCTTGGATTCAGTCTGATGACTGAATTTCTGCAGCTTTTGTACAGCCAAATGTCTAGATGCTCCCATCAGGAAAAAAATATATGAATAAATATAACTTAGTCTTCTACTGCAGGCATTGCTTCATTGTCATAAAATGTGTTTAAAAGAAACAGTATTTAGAAATAGTCAATTGGCTTTTAGGTGTCCATTTTAGTCAGTTCTCAGTAGTCCCCGTGACATCAGTGGTAGTACTTACCTGATAAAGACTAATACTGTACTCTTAACTCATACAAATTAAGGTTTGCAGATTTTCTGAGGAGTCTTAAAGATCTAAGTATTATTAGTTATGGAATCCTGACTGACTTAAAGAATCTGTAATCTGAGGACCTCAGCATGCTGTCCACCAAACTTTTTGCAGTTTATACGTTCAGACAAAGTAGGTAGCTGCCCCCTCTTACTGATGGGATTCAGAGAGTTCAGAAGTGTGCAGAACAGTTCTATTCTAGTCATCATTTCCTATGTTTTCAGTTTAAGAAAATCTGATATTTTCCCTATTACGATTTGAATTATTTGCAGATGTATAGACTAATTCCTCAAAGATATGTTTCTCAATTTTTGAGAAAGATTAAATTATAGGAA